TAAAATTTCCCAGAGAGACACATTAGAAAAGGAAAAAATGTCTTCCACGAATTAAAATTACTAAGCAGCAGGAACATTTCGTTAGAAAAACCTTGCCAAGTATAATGGACCATTATGCGATGCTAAGTCTCCGATGGAGCACTGAATGAAGGAAAATTACTCACGTTTATATATATATATATATATATATATATATATATATATATATATACGAGTAGAACCCGTGAAAGAAGTAATAATATATATTGTTAAGACGTGAAATTGACTGTCAATCATGCTTGTGCTGTATGTGCGTGTGTGTTCGTCTTTTTTATTTCATTTAATGTCTTAGATTTCCCTAAATCTTTCTTTTAGTTCTGTTATCAATCCATTAAAAGCTAATTTCAAGAGAGATTAAATTCAAGCCAATAGCTTGAAAAGAAAACCTGTTTTTTTTTCCCATTTTTGTTGCAAATTTAAAAGCAAAGGCATTTTTCAAGGAATCAATAAAATGAATCCGAAAAGCTAACAAAAATTAAGTTAGTTTTGCATAACTGGTGATATTCATTGATATTTAGTCTTTCAGATCTACAAATTTTAAATTAATCCTGGGCTCTCGTAATAATAATCAACACACACACACACATTTTATATATATATATATATATATATATATATGACGTAGATATATATGTTGTGTCCATAAATTTCGTGTGCACTTTAAAAATATATAACTTTATTTGTATTTTCGATCGAAATAATTTGTAAAAAGGATTAGAAAGAAGTAAATCTATATTTTTGAGGTTTTATTGAAATTTTATTTAAGTTTTCACGTGTCCTCCATCTTTAACAATACAAAGGTATCACGATTTTGCAGTTCACAGAAAACATTTGTCAACTGATTTACAGTAATGTCTGAAATCACATTAGTTATTGTAGCTATACTTAAAACTAGGTACATTACACTTCATAACATATTTTACAGATTATTTCTATCGCAAATACAAATAGCTATATTTTTAAAATGCACACAAACTTTATGGACACACTCACACACACATATATATATATATATATATATATATATATATATTACTTGTCTTTTCTTTACCTGTTTCTCTCTCCATATTCTATAATGAACTCTTTGTATGTAGTTGTAAGCGGTTTTACGCGATGGGATTACTCATGTATAAATCATGTATTAAGAGTAAACAACAAGGTAATTTGATAGTAAGCAAGATCAACCAAGATTCATAATAAGTATTGCGGATGGTGAGATAAATTCTCACCGTGTTCTCTCCACATACCTTTTACTGAGATAATTTGAATTAAAAAAAATCATATAGCCAACCTTTCAGTTTTTTTTTTCCTTTTTGTATTGATCTATTTGAAATTGCACTCTTTTCTTTTTTTCTGAATCTCGAGTGTATTTTGAATGATGATACAGTACTGACCAGACACGGATAAGAAATTTCAAAATCTCCTACAAGAGGTAGCAGCGGAGAGTGTGAAGAAAGGACTAAGCACAAACTAGAAGAAGAGCTGGTGTATGGTTATCAGTAAAAGGATGAGCCCGAAATTGTGATCTGAAGTTCGGGAACACGAGAATCAAGCAGATGCGGAAAATTAAATATCGAAGAAACGTTCTGACAGAGGACGGTAAATGCGACACTGAGATCCGTAAACGCATTTCGAAGGCCAATAGCTGGGCAGAGTACTACGAGTCAGGAGGATTTATTTGGTAAAAAAAAAAAAAGAATACTGAACTGTTACGTGATAACTGTGCTTCTTTCTGGCAACGAATGTTGAATGATTTCCTCAAAAATGAAGAAGTGACTCGAGGCAACAGAGATGTTTCTACAGAAGGGTGCTAAGAATATCATGGACCCAGAGTGTGAGCAACGATGAGATATTAGAGATGTTGCAAACAAGGAGTGCTTGGCAAATCTGATACACACGGGTCGAATAGAGGGAGAGAGATAAGGGAAAATAACGCCTGACGGAAGACACTGGATAACAGAACGTGGTCAGCAAGAGAAAGTAGAGGCAAGGAACTTGTTGAAAGCTGCCAGGGAATGAGTGAGGTAGAGAGCTATGATTGCCAACGTCCTGAAAGGTTATGGCACACAAAAAAGAAAATGTATTTTGATTGGTCTGTTCCGTTTCACGAAATAGTAGTCTGTTTTTACGATTTCGAATCTTATATAGCACCATATGTCTTATCCCGCAGGACAATAGCCTAGCTTTTAAAGCGTCCGCTTATGATTTTGGTTAAGCAGGAATTGTGATAACAATCTCTGGGTAGGTTATCATCGACTTAGACGCAGCGTAAACAGGATGAGCTATAACCAAGAAGTACTTAATAAGGAGAAGACGAAATATCCCTAGCAATGGAAAGGTAAAGGAGAACTTCGACCCGTTCATTAAATCATACTTTCTTTTTAAAATTCCTTGAAGATAACTCTGATTAACAATCGATTGAGGCGGCAGGATATAACGTTGCGGCAGAATAAAAAATGCGGACAACAGTTCGAACAGAAATAATAATACCCGATTCAGAAATTTCGTTTTTAAATTTATTGTACAGCATGGTTAGAAAGTCGTGTCCCCCCTACCTCTCTCCCAAACCGTTGGAGCTCGGGTCAGCCATATGAAATATAGTTATATTATTTAGGGATGACAAGACTTTCGAAACCTGCCTTATTTCAAATAATTTTGTCATGTTTATAATTTTTCTTATCTACACATTTTAGTCAAAATTCAAGGTAACAATTCTTTAATTATCCACGTATGCGTTTCTAAAAATGGAAATCTGGATTTGATACAAACTGACAAATATACGCTTGTTTTCTTGGAATGAAATCGTCAAAATTTTAAAAAAGTGTTATATCATTGAAATGAACCGTGAATTCTGATTCTTTACAATTTACAATGAATTATATATATATATATATATATATATATATATATATATATATATATATAAAAATATAAAAAATATATGCCACTACAATATATACATATATCATGGAAATATAAAAAATATGTCACTACAATATATATATATATATATTTTTATATTTTCATGATATATGTCACTACAATATATATATATATCATGAAAATATAAAAAATATAAATATATGCCACTACAATAACTATATATATATATATATATATGGAATACTACAGATACATACACGGTACTTATTGAAAAGCGCTCAATATCAGTGATAGAGCTATCATATTTAGATATATCATCAGATATACTTTGTCTGATATTCACAAATAGCTTGAAAGCCAGTGTCACAAATTCACATCACCCTAACACCTAACAAAATATATATACATATATATTATTCTATTGAAATATACATCCAACTATATATTATACAATCAAAACGTACATTAAATTATATATTATGCCATTATAATCTGCATTACATAATTATACAACTAAAAACCTACATCATACCTTCTGTCATTAAAATCTCTATCGAATTATATAATTCTCGCTTTTGAATTTGTTGCTTCATATAAACTGATATTGAGATTATGGGTAGTGTGAAAAGATTAAGCGAGATACATATGAAGCATGTCATGAAAATTGGTTCACTGTGCCGTGTCAGAGAAATTTTCTGGCATGAACTCATCGAACTACTAGATTGGCAGTTAGGTCTCATCGATTTACTGATGAACAAGATATATGTAACCAAGTTTTATTCTAATTTTTTTTTTCTTTTTTTCCGAAAATATAGCATCGGGGAGTCGTTCCGTTTCTTGTTTCCCTGTCACACTTTTCAAAAATTAATTGCCATCCTCGGCCTTTTTGAATTCTTTGCTTTTTACTGCCTTTTCTCCTCAGGAAAATCTTCTCATTTCATTCTTAGTGGCGTTATTGCATAGCTTTGGGCGAAATGATTTAAAATAATTGCGATGATGATTTATTTTTAAATGAAAGGGAATAACGCTGGTTAATTCAAAACTGGGAATTTACTCATACAATTTAAAATATACATAAGTTTATTTACAACTTTTTTTTAAAAATTATGGATTAAATAATACGTGGAAAAATGTATTGAATAAACAAGTAAATCCTAAGAAAAAGAGTAGATAAAAAACACAGGCGTAAATAATCACAGGCGTAAATAATGAAGAAAAAATAATAAGAGAGACACGAAAAATGAGAGACACAGATAAAAATGAGAGAGACACGGGCGTAAATAATAAGAGAGACACGGGCGTAAATAATAAGAGAGACACGGGCGTAAATAATAAGAGAGACACGGGCGTAAATAATAAGAGAGACACGGGCGTAAATGGTAAGAAAGACAGAAAGGCGTAAATAGTAAAAGAGGTAGAGAATGGCGTAAATAGTAAATGAGAAAGAAAGCCGTAAATAGAAAGAAATTTGAAAAGACATATCAAAAAGGCAAAAATATAAAATTAACATCAATGATAAGAATACCTGAAAAATGACCTGAATAATTAGTACGTCTATGAATGAAAATGATTATAAAATAAAATAAAAATGGTAGAGAATCAGTAGAATGAAAAAAAAACTCATGAATATTGTATGAATGAAAATAAAGAAGGAAGGAAAAAAATACGAAGAAACATGCGAAAAATACTACAGAAAAGACAACAAAGTAGAACAAGCACATAATGAAATGGAATGGAATGAATGAATGAATGAGTGATTAAATAACATAGTATGCTGTTGCATTGACATATCAATACAATTATATTATCAATAACAATATGATGATTTGATTGAAGGCAACCGAAGATGTATAATTGGGAAAATGTGTCAAGAACAATGCAAAGAAAGAAAAATTAAAGAAACTTGAAAGATGAAAAGGAAGGATACGTGTGATTGAAGATGCTATTGAGAATTGAATAAATCGTCCTATTGATTAGATAGGAATATAAAGCTGAATTTAGATGGAGTGATGAAAAAGAAGAAAGACACAAATAAGTCTAAGAAGATACGAAGAATAGTAAAAAAAAAATAGAAGGAATTAATTCATGAGAAAGAAAGAACGGGGAGGATAGGTAAGAAGAGATAAAGATAAAGAATGAACGAAACTAAGAGAAAAAGAAAGAAACCAGGAAAGAAAGAAAGAGAAAGAAAGAAACCAGGAAGAAAAGGAAAGAAAGAAACCATGAAGAAAAGGAATGAAAGAAAACACGAAAAAAAGGAAATAAAAAAAAATCAAGAAGGAAATGATGAAACCTTGAAGAAAAGGTAAGAAAGCAAGCAAGAGAAAAAGAAAGAAAGAAAGAAAAAAAGAGAAAAAGAAAAAGAAAGAAAAAAGAGAAAAAGAAAAAAAAGAGAAAAAGAAAAAGAAAGAAAAAAAGAGAAAAAGAAAAAAAGAGAAAAAAAAAAAAAAGAGAAAAAGAAAAAAAAAAAAAAAAAAGAAAAAAAAAGAAAAAAGAAAAAGAAAAAGAAAGAAAAAAAGAGAAAAAGAAAAAAAAAGAAAAAAGAGAAAAGAAAGAAAGAAAAAGAAAGAAAGAAAGAAAGAAAGAAAAAAGAGAAAAAGAAAGAAAGAAAGAAAAAAGAAAAAAGAAAGAAAGAAAGAAAAAGAAAGAAAGAAAGCAAGAGAAAAAGAAAGCAAGAGAAAAAGAAAGCAAGAGAAAAAGAAAGCAAGAGAAAAAGAAAGCAAGAGAAAAAGAAAGAAAGAAAGCAAGAGAAAAAGAAAGAAAGAATGCAAGAGAAAAAGAAAGAAAGAATGCAAGAGAAAAAGAAAGAAAGAAACAAGAGCAAAAGAAAGAAAGAAACAAAGAGCAAAAGAAAGAAAGAGAAAACGACAATAAGAAAAAAAAGCCCGAAAACAAGATAAAATTAAAGAAAATAAGATAAAAGGAAAGAAATCAAAAGAAAAAGATAGAGAGAGAGAAACCAAGTGAATATGAAGACAAAATATACCAGTAGCATACCAAATACTAACGAGAGTTTAGATTGAAAAATGAATCGGAAACGGCTGTGCAGGAGACGGGTCCGGGATTCTTGGTTCAAGTATGGGAGACAAAATGAAGAGAAAAATAAAATAAAAGATAAACAAACATAAAAAAAGAGTGAGAATCGTAATTTGAGAAGCGGAACTGGTCGACTAATGGAACTCTGAAAAAAGTTCAAAAAAGGAACCAAAACAAATCTCAAAGAGCAATGTACCAATCTAGTAACCGAAAAGAATGCCAAAAGAGTTTGCTATTCAAAGGAATGCGACATTCGGTTGGCAATTTCAAAGACAGGAGGCTTTCGCGGAAGACAAAGAATTCAACAAAGTCCGTGTCAGACTCTGAATAATTCATGGCTTCTTTGAAAAGATCACAAATTGGCACAGAATCCACACAAAGGAACAGTTTTGTGGCGGTCAGGAAACGAAGAAGAAGGGAATAAAGGAAGGCGAAGGCTGAATAGAGTTTTTGTAAATTAGTCACTGTTTTGTTTGTTAAAGAGATTTGATGGTGCTTTTGGATATACGCCCGCGAAATTTGATATCTTTTCAGGGGCTTTTCTTCATCTGACTCTCCGATAAACGGTCTTTGCTAGAACACGAAGTCGTTGAAAGAGTTCTAGAATGATAAAACAAAACCATACAAAAACAAATTTGGCGATCACAACTCGCAGCGATGACACACATATACATATATGCGGGGTTAAATCGTAATAAGAACAACTGTAATTAACATTCCAAGAACATACGCATAGTAAAGACAGATCAATATTAACTAAACGTGCGTTATTTTAACTAATATACAAATTATAGTGATTATGTATCGTAGTGGATTTTTTTTTAAAATTCAATATTTAAATTTCGACAGAGGTTGACATACAGGCCTTCGTCATATATTTAAAGTTACCATGTCTCTGGACAATTTCTTGATCTAATTCAGTCTTTGACATAAAATCGTGAAAGAAATGTTATACTGAACGGTCATCCTTCTAGATCCTTTTGCAATAATGCAGGTGAGCTGCAAGCTTCTATTCTTGGTCTTGCTTTTTTTCAATTTGCATTAACGACCTTCCCAATTTAATCAGCTCTAAACCTGGTACCTATGCTAATGACGCAACCATTGAACCCAGTTTCGATAGTAAGGCTGGTCTGTTCGATATTGTTAAATTGGCATCTGATTTCAAAAACGAACTTCCCATTTGCTAACTTGGACAAATAATGACTTCTTAATTTTAAATTACTCGCGTTTAATGAACTGAATGACACGTTTTTGCCTTCCAAAAGCATGTCCGATGCTGACCTCCAGGAGTGTGACTTATTGCTCCTTCTCGTGATAACATACTCGGTTGAATGGGATTGAAAAGAATATATTGAAACCATTGTTTGATCAGGCCCTGAAAATAGTTTTATTGTGTCACACTAGACAATTTTCCTCTCCAGAATTTATCTTACATATACCTAAATCTACAATTCAACCATGCTTAGAATATTTCTGCCAGATATCGGTTCTATGTACCAGCTATATATTTAGAGATTCTTGATAAAAATCCCTAAAAGAGTCAGTAATATTATTGGTCCTGACCTAGCGTCTCGGATTCAGTCACTTCTCAAATATATATATATATAAAGTTATATATATATATATATATATATATATATCTATATATATATATAGCGATTGTATTGTATTGAGCGCTTTTGTTAGTTGTTTACTCGTATCGGGTTTTTTTTCTTTGGGCTTCAGACCTGCATCTGTGCGATGTTTTTGTAGGCAGAAGTTCATGTTTGGAGCTCTTTCTTTTTTTAAAACCTATTTTTCCATCGAGATTGATTTGATTATTAGCAAATCAAAAATTCGAGGGTTTTTTAGAAACGAGTCTTGTTATATATATATATATATATATATATATATATATATATATATATATATATATATATATATATACTCTTAAAAAAAGATAGTGAAAGAAAGCTAGAAGAAAGGATTAAACATCAATTGGAAGAAGACATTATGCATGGCTGTTAGTAAAATGATGAAAACAAAATACAAATTGGTTATGCTAAAATGAGAGAAGTACAAATATATAAATATCTAGACTGTCTTTTACCTGAGGACGGAAAAATAAACAGAAAAAAAATCATCGTTAGAAGCGAAGAAAAAAGTATGTGGTAACTGTTTTTCTATATGGCAAGGAATGTGGGTCAATGTCTTCAAAGAGGAAGCAGAGTTGAGTCAACATAAATGTGGTTTTACAAACGGACGCTGAGGATGCCATAGATTGAACTTGTGAGCAACGGCGGAGTTTTAGAGAAAAGGGAAACAAAAAGTGAACTTGAGTTAATATCAGATAAAGAGTTTGAAATTCTAGGTCAAATAATGAGCAAAGACGTATTCGAAGATCGGATAATCACAGCTCAAATTGAAGCCAAGTGGGTGAGAGAAATACCACACATCACATACTCGTGAATTTGATTAAGTGGATGCCTGAAGAAAGTTTCTGAGAAATAACTAAAAGACAATATTTATCATGAGCTCTGACAGGAACTTCTGGGGAACTATGGTGATTTGTATCCTGAAAGAACACGGCACACAAAGATGAAGAATACTAATACATAACTAATATATAACTAATATATAACTAATCATTATAATATATTATCATTATTATATAATATATTATCATTATAATATATAACTAATATATAACTAATCATTATAATATATTATCATTATTATATAATATATTATCATTATAATATATAACTAATATATAACTAATCATTATAATATATTATCATTATTATATAATATATTATCATTATAATATATAACTAATATATAACTAATCATTACAAGTGAAATTCACCCGTGAGAGTCTAGAATATAAACGGCTCATCACATTTTTCATTATATTCTGTATCTTCGTCAACACTTCTGATAATAGTGTAAATATAATTGATGGTTCACTTAAGATATTTAAGGTGGCAACGTAATTAAAAACAGTGTTCGTTTTAACGCTAATATGAACAAAAGAAATGAAAGAAGGGAAGCATTTCTACAAATGAAAAAGACAATTACTTACGGAGTCTTGAGAAAAAAAAAATTATTTCATTTAGTGAATATTTCCAAAGAAGGCATAAGGATGGACTTACCTAAAAGAAAAAAAGAAACAAGAAAAATATTATTAAATAACAGTTTACAGATATTTTTTTTTTATTTAATTGCATTAAAATACGTAAAAAAATATATGTATGCGTGTCAATGAGGTGGTAATGAAAAATTTTCAGGTTGACGCACTAGTTAAAAGCTGAAGATATCCACATGGGATTTTTTTTTTCATTTAGTATGTTTCGTGCTGGTAGTGTATCGGTTACCTTCACAAAATATAGCATCGGTGTGCAGAGGTTAAATCCTGGTCTTGTCTCCACTAAGGAAATGAAAATTTCCCTGTTTTAGCCTCAACCATTTGCAATCGTTGAAGTAGTAGCAGAAACTGAATTGAGAAGACTTAGGAGCAAACTAGAAAACTCACTGATAAGGAATGCGGGGCGTTATGATTGCCTGCGTCCTGAAGTAAATTTTTCTAAGCGTAGATAAGATGTAAAACAAGGCCGAAAATGTGGGGGGGGGGCACCTAGTGCGGATCTAACTTTTATATACTTTATATCTCATTGGAAATATAACATACTCTATTATAGTCAATATACTCCTGTCTGTAGTGAGCCACATTTGGACAATCCTTTTTCTAACTTGTTATCCAATCAAACTCAGATGAAGCATAGCTGGCATTATTAATTATCGGATGTGTTTTCTTTCCCAGTATATGTTTATCAGTCTGATCAGGCCATCCCATACAGTATTGATGGTTAATAAGATAAAGAATTTTTGCTCCGTAATTTCATATAATGAAATTGGCGTGCTTAGTTCAAATTGAAGCCGAGACCGTTGTTTTCGCTTTCACACCAATAAACTTTTTAATCTTTCTCGTCCTCTACATAATCCAATCAGATGTTAAAAGCAAAATAGAATGTTTTCTAGATTTGCTTAGCAACCAGTATATGAGAACAACAAGTCTAAATTTGAACCGAGTAAATATGGGACTGGCAACTTCATCCCTACATGTTAAAAATCCCACTAAGAAATATATACAACATATAAGAATCTACAGAACATACATACATATGTATATACATGCATCGATATACGTATATTTATATATCGACTTTTTCATTATGTTTTATGTCAATTTGTGTCATAAGCATTCATTGAATGCAAATATGAAATAAATCTGTTTTTCTGGGCTGTGCTTAATTTCAGGCTTTTATATATATATATATATATATATATATATATATATATATATATATATATATATATATATATATCCGATGTGTGTAGATACAATGGAACATTTTGCCTTTAGCGATTTGCAGTTAATGGCAAATAGAATAAAATTTCAAGTTTATTTTGTTCTCATTCTAAAATGTTTTATTTTTATCATTGTTTCGCTAGCAAACAAAGTGAAGTTGACTTTCAGACATAAGAATAAAATGAAGCCGCCAACAAGTAAAACAAATTAAATAAATGTATTTAGGGAACAACAGAGTGTTTAATTAAAATGTGCTCACGTTAAAACAGGATATAAATTGCATACAAACGGAAATTATTCAAGGTTTAAAGTAACCTTTTAGAATATATTACACTATATTAATAAAATTCCAGGTAGAAAATGTATAAATTTCTCCCTTTTTTTAATACAAAAATCACATACTTTTGTGCTGTCCTTTGTCTAAAGAGTCTAAGTTAGACTCTTTCGCCTACTATAATTTTAGTGGGAGAGAAGGAACAGTGAACTGTGAAGAGATTGAGCGCTAGTTCATTCAATACACTCTCACCAGTCGTTAACTACTATTCTGGTTTACTTACTGTTTAATATACGATATATTTGCAAACCTGGTTTTGTTTATTAGTTAACCATTTACTTGGTAATAACACATAGAAATGGGGGACGGTGATATATATATATATATATATATATATATATATATATATATATATGGGGACGGTGATATATATCTATCAAGAAAAATATATGAACAATAGAAAAAGTTTTCATGAAAGCGTTTTTAGGACATCATCAGACTAAATTTGTTGCGTTGGGCATGTATAGTAGCACCGACATTTAGTCCGATGATGCCCTAAAGGACGAAGATCTTTACAAGAAAACTGTTGCCACTTTTATATATATATATATATATATATATATATGTGTGTGTGTGTGTGTGTGTGTGTGTGTATAATTAAAATAGATGAATAAATAAATAATTAAATAAAATAACAAATATATAAAAATA